CCCCAAAACCCCAAAACCCCAAAACCCCGTGAATGTTAATTTAGCATTTTCTAGAAAAAGATTAATTAAATTGTTCCTACTAAATTATAGAAATATAGAATACATTCGGTGAAGTAATCAATGGGAGAGATTCATGAAAACAAAATGCATAAATTGACCATAGCTGGTGGTCATAAAGATAGGTTTTTCATTGCTAACTAATATGGAGAATCGATCATAATTAAATAGACAAACTTAAACGAAATGGTAGCTTATGAAAAAATATTTAACTCAAAATCTAGTGACCCTAGATTTAGGGAAAACCAAGTTTTGAAGAATTTCCTGCCCAAATACTATGGTGTCTAGGAATTAGAAGCACCTTCTATTTATTAAGATGATAGCCTTAGTAAGGATAATATACCCATCTTGCTCGAGAACTTATTAGCAGACAAGCCTAATGCTAGTATTCTAGACCTTAAAATGGGTACATCGAGTTTGTCTTTGAAGAAAAGAGCTAAGCATGATGTAGAAAGAATAAAGTTAAAGGATTCAATGACGACTACTAAAACACTTGGTTTTAGAGTGACTGGCTACATAATTAAGGATTCAAATGGTAATACTCTAGAAAAAGTAGTAAAGCCTCACGGAAAGATTAAAGCTGAGTAAATACCGATTATACTCTAAAAACTTTTAAGCTTTTAAAATGATCAAAATGGAATTAACAGTGAGGCTATTGAATATTTGAAGTCATAGATCAGTAAGATGATCAAATATTTCTAGAATATACATTCTAGATAAATGCAATGTTCAAGTCTTTTTATCATTATTGATAATCTAAATAGGAAGTATGACATCAAAATTGTGGACTTAAGTTCATGCCAAGATTTTAAAAGTTTAGAAGAGCGAGATACTGGATTTATATTTGGATTAACTAATCTTTTGGCTATACTTTAAACACTTTGAATAATCCAAGTTCAATATTCCTTTCATCTGATTTAATAGTAGCCATTTTGTAATTCAATGATTATTATTTGTGAGAGTATTTTAAATAAATATGATTAAGTTTTAATATCGTAGAGATATTCTATATTGATGGGGTTTTGGGGTTTTGGGGTTTTGGGG